AAACTTCCCGTTGGAAGCCAATAAATATGCTGTGTTGTCTGTGGTGAGTGTGACTGTCTCTCCATCAGAGAGATGGCACCCACCTAGCTCCCAGCTTTATGAATCTATTTTTGCCTCTTGTCTCTTTCTTTCTCTAATTTTTAAATCCCCAGCTCCTCTCCTCAGGAACCTGTCTTTTTTTCCGTGCGGGATGTGGAAAAAGGAGAAACACCACAGAAAGCCTCAGGGGCCTAGCCATGGACAATCAATCCTAGGGTGACTTTCCCCACCCTAGAATATCGCTGGTCATGACCTTCCCTCCCTAGAGATAACACCCGTGCCGACGTATTTCAGCTCTAGGCCCGGATAATTAATAAAACCAGCGTTGGCTGATATCAGAATCAGCTGCATTGAATAGTGACCCCTACCCTGGTGCCGGCCAAACAATCAGTAGAGACCACAACACTGAAAGGACACACCTGGAAAACTGCAGAATATTCCAGGAAGACCTTCTCCTGGGACCTCCCCTAAAATCTCCACTCTTAAAACCTTGAGGCTGGAGGACCCAGTGTGCTCTCCTTCCTAGGAATATTTCCCTGCCTTCCCTTCCCTACTTCTCCCACCTTCCCCGCCTCCTCTGTGGCCCCAGTCACCTTACCATTGCCTTCCTCCCTCCCAAGCTCCAAAGGCCCATCTCTTCTACCTCTGTGATTTACCAAATAAATGTTCTGATACAGTTTGGATCTTGGCTCTGAATTCTTTCCTAGCCAGAACCCAAGTACCAACTTGGCTGAACCCAGTTATTTTCTGACCCCACTGGTCAGACAACTGGCACTGTTCCCGCTGCCTACAGCACTTGGATCTGGCTTTGGATAATATTAAACTGAATATTTAAAAGATGTTCCATTTCTAATTTCATTTTGAGTTACACAATTACAGATAAAGTCTCATTTAGATGCTATATGTCTTAAATACCTCTCTAACACTTGGTAAACAACCCACTTCCTTTATGTTTTAAATAAATTTTATTTATTTATTTTTATATTATTATTTTTTAATATATTTTATTGATTTTTTACAGAGAGGAAGGGAGAGAGATAGAGAACTAGAAATGTAGATGAGAGAGAAACATCAACCAGCTGCCTCCTGCACACCCCCCAATGGAGATGTGCCAGCAACCAATGTACATGCCCTTGACCGGAATCGAACCCGGGACCTTTCAATCCGCAGACCGACGCTCTACCACTGAGCCAAACTGGCTTCGGCTGTTTTAAATAAATTTTAAACTCAAACTTAATGGGTAGTTGGTCAATAGAGTCCAGTTGGAATATGGTCCCCTATTTTATTTTTCTTGTGTCCATTTTAGTTTATCCTTTTATTTATGGTTTGTGAGTTATATATAGTTTCTTTTTCAAATAAATTATTTAAGCAAATTGAGTCGATCTAAAGAAACAGGATAAGTAGATCAGAGCCAAGGTGAAGCAAGGTCATGGTAAGATTATAAAGGTAGTATAGAAATGGCTGAAGTTTAACAAATAAGAGTGCTATGCTTGAAAGGAGAAAATCTGGGATTGAGTCCCTGCTCCACCACCTACTAGCTGTGACCTGGGGCAGTTTACCTAACCTCTTAGAACCTTTCCCATCTATAAAATAGGAGCAAGAACATTACCTTCTTTGCAAGCTTGTGAGAACTGACGAAGGAAAGTGTCAATGTAGTGATGTTGCAGAGAGGCTATACCACTTAACGTGAAGTGTGTTGGGAGGAGGAGGGAGACTTGCCAACATTAGCAGAATGCTTATTACAGGCAAAGTACAGGAGAGGATAATGAATAAAACTTGGCCGCCACCCTTAGAGTTTAGTTTTTCTATAGGGGAGACAAACACAGAGATGTACATTATTTTGCAGACCGTGATAACTTATAAATGGGAATAAAACTATAGGTAAAGGAAATAGGGAGAAGTTGACTGCATGACTATATGTGATAATAGCTGCCATTTCCTAAGGCCAGGGAGCCTGCTAGGTTCTTTCCCACGTTAGCTCATTTGTTTCTAACAATTTGGGAACTGAAATTGAGGAGGCTAAATAATTATCCCATTTTTAATAATGGTGATAGTATTTATGATGGAATACTTATCATATGCCCAGCACTGTGGTACATCCTTCATGTGTATTATCTCATTTCAGCCTCATCCCCAGTCTATGGGATAAGTCTGTCTCCCTTTTACAGAAAAACAAACTAAGGATCGCAGAGCTCAAGAGCTTGCAGATTTAGTAAATGGTGCTGTTGCAGTCTAATCCCAGCGGTGTTTCACTCCAAAACCCATTTCGTCTGATTCTCCTGCTTCCAGTCAGCAGCTGAGCTTTGGGGCCTGATGTGACTATGCACAGGGAAGGTCCTTTGAGTGCTCTGTTGTTAAATGCTAGGTTCCATTCCGGGCTAAGTTTCTCTACTGAGTTGACCTATGTCACTACTCCTCTTTCTGTTTCACAATATAATCTCCTAAAGTACAAAGTCCTAGGACCATATGAGTGGCAAACACCGCTCCACTATAAGGTGATGTTGGTAAGACATTTCAAAGGCAGACAAAAGAACTGAGTGATGACAGGTTAAGGTTTTGGGGGAGGTTAGAAGCTGTATTTTCTGTAGGAACTCACAGAATTAATTTTTGATAGATACAAAGGGCCTAACATCCCACAGCAGGCAGAGGAATCAAGAGACCACACGTCTCCCATGTCTCTCAATGCTTATTTCACTAGAGCAGTGGTTTTTAAAGTGTGGTCTCCAGAATCACCAGCTGCAGCATTACCTGGGAACTTATTAGAAATGTCCACCTTCGACCCACAGAATCAGGAACTGGGATGGCACTCAACAATCTGTTTTAATAAGTCCACAGAGTGATTGAGACAGGCTCAGGTTTGCAAACCAGCACATAGTATTTACTCTAGATGATAAGGCACATGGCAGGAAGAAGAGGGGAGATGTAACCCATCCTTCTCCCTGCCTCAGCTCCTCTTTGTTCCAGGTGAAGGGGCTCAGCTGAGCTCTACAGCAGCTCCCATACATTAGAGAGAATTAATGCTGCCCTGGACTGGTTGTTCTTGTGTGCTCCCAGGTAGCCAGGCGCTAGGTGCTGCCTGGCTGTAGGTATGTGTCGAGAACAAGGGCTGCCAGGGGCAGGAAAAATAGATGCTAGGCTCTTCCCCCACCCCAACCTCCCAACAGCCAGCTCTCCAAGAACCTAGAGGAGGCTCCTCTCCACACTCCCTCCCCATCTGTGCGCCATGATTGGTGGCTCAGAACCTTGCAATGGATTCTCAAAGGCAGGAAGCCTGTGGAAGGAGAAAAGGGGAGTTGGTGGAATGCAAATATACATGGAAGGCACCTGTTTTTCTCTGCCGGCTATTTTTACTTTATCCTGAAGGGACCATAATACCAGTGGTGGGGAAATAATAGAAATTCATTTGCACTTTAGCAATATCTCTGGCAGCTGTGAGGAAGGATTGACAGAAGCCAGAGACCAATGGGCAGGCAGTTAGCACACCAGTCCCAGCGGGCAATGAAGGCTGTGTGGGGAGGGAGTTGATTTAAGAGGCTATGAATTTGGATATGCATGGGGAGAAGGGGAGGAGAGGGAAAAGATAGCACTCATTTGGACTTGATTAGTTGTAAGTATAGTGTCAACAGCTGGGCCCTGAAGTCCTGGAATCAGCTGCCAATAGGATCCTGAGCGCAGGTGAGTGCTGGCCCCACCTCCTTCCTCTTGCCCCGAAGCCTTTGGCTTTGGAACCAGGCAGACAAGGGTTCAAAACACCCGCTGGAATGTGGCTTTCAGGAGAGCGAAATTCTGTCTCTGGTTTTTCAGCTGTAGGCTGGGCGCCTGTGTCTGGCACACAGTAGGCGCTCCATAAACGTTTGTTGAATTAACCAACGAATGAAAAATGAACGGCCACACGCCAGGCCTCCCTTCCTCACCTGTGCATACCCGACCAGGCAAGGTCCTTGCCTAAGGAAAGCACCTGGCCCCCACCTCGACGCACAGTCGGCCGCTCAACAAGTTGTATTTCCCATCCACAGTAGGTCGCGCGCCTGGGCGACCCCAAAAAGCCCTTTCTGTCTCTCGTGTCTTCCCACCTCCCTTCGCCCCTGCAGCCCCTACTGGGTCTTGGGGAGCACGTGGGCCGGGAAGGCGGGGTGGCGGCGCGGTGGGCAGGGGAGCGAAGCCGGGCTCCCGGGCTTACGTGAGGCGCGGGCCCTGCGCGGACGCCGGGACCGGAGTGGGGGCGGCAGGCGGAGGCGGCCCCGCCCGGCGGGCTCCGGGCTGCGAGCGGTGGGGGCGCCGCGTCCCGGCCGTGGTGTGTGTCTCTGTGGCTGCTCCGGGCGGAGAGGCGCCGGCTCCGGCTCCGCGCGGCGGGGAGCGCACCCGTCCACCCGCGGCGGAGGCGGGCGCAGCGCTGGCAGTGCGGGCGGCGGGCGCTGCGGCCACCGCGACTCCCGGGGATGTGACAGCCGCGGGGGAGGGCTGGGGCGCGGGCTAAACGCCGCCCACGTGCGAGGACCCCGGCAAGGGGCTCAGCGCCCAGGCCGCCCGGTACGAGGGGCGACGGGGGGGAGGGTGTGGGACTGGCTGGAGGGGGCCGGGCTGCCTGGCCCCTAACTCGGATGCGGGGTGGGGAGCGAGATGGAGGGATCGAGGTGGGGCTGCTCCGGCCCACCTCGGTGCCCCCAAGGCTGATGGATGGTGCCTGGGGCGGGGACGGGGGACTTCTCCCCGCTCCCGGCTTGGGGCGCGGAGGGCGGGGAGGTGCGGCGTGGCGCCTCACTCCGCCTTCCAGCCGCCCCGCTGCGGGCTGGAGGGAGGGGCTGCCTTATAACTCTCCTTCCCCGCAGGGCGGCCGCCCAGTCCCCCGCGAGCGGAGCCGAGCGTGTCCGGTGCCGCCGGCGCAGGAGAAGCAAAGTTCCCGGTGCGTCCCCGAGGCCGCCGTCCGGCCTGCGCGCGGCTGCCCGCTCCCCGCGGAGGCGATGGCTTCCAAACTCCTGCGTGCCGTCATCCTCGGGCCGCCCGGCTCCGGCAAGGGCACCGTGTGCCAGCGCATCGCCCAGAACTTCGGCCTGCAGCATCTCTCCAGCGGCCGCTTCTTGCGGGAGAACATCAAAGCCAATACCGGTGAGGGAGGGAGGGAGGGAGGTTCGGGAGGCGAGGGGCTGGGGTGAGCCCAAGCGGGTTAGGCTTAGGCCGGGGAGGCTGCAGGGCTGATCGGAGAGGGGTTGGGGCTCCCCGGGCCCCGGGCGCCCTCCCCCCGCCCGCGTGTGGTCGCGCAGCCTCCTACGTGCCGGGCCGCATGCAGCCGGTGGCCCGCGGCGGTGCGCCCGGGGAGAAGGCCGGCGCCGCTGCTCCGCGCCCGGGCTCCTCCTGCCTTGGGGAGAAGCCGGGAACCACCGAGCTGTGGGAGCCGACAACGCCAAGCTCCTTCTCTGGCCCCGATCCCTTAAGGCAAAGCCGACCCCACTCCCCGGCGCCTCGCGTGGACCCGGGAGCCCACTCCGCTGGCCCGGGCCCCCGCGCCCCCCGCGCCCCGCCGCGCGCCGCCCACCTGTGGGAGTCCGCCGTGCGCGCTGGGAACCTGTGGCGCCGCGGTGCCCAGAGCCGCGCGCTGTGCCAGCCCCTCCGTGTGGCCTCAGGTCTCGGGGCAGAGCCCAGGGTGGCTCTGAAAGGCCTGTCTGTTCCGTGGCCATTTGCTAAGGTAAATTCTCACCACGAGCTCCCCCCCCCCCCCCCCTTTTCTCTAAGCCTGGGCCTGGCCGCGAGGAGACTAGATCTGATACATTACACATTGAATCCAGATTGCATAGAGCTGGCTTTTCTGAGAATGCCTCCCGTGATGATTTGGGGGATAAAGATCGCCTGATCTCCCAGGCTTTCAGGACGGCCCTCCTCCTTTTCCTTCCACCCCACCTTCACACGAGTTAATTAACTGGCATTGAAAGGTGAGAGGTAGCTGTTGTGCTGCCAGCGAGGTATGTAACCCTTCTGGGATGCAGATGCTTATAATTAGCAACTTCTTTATGAAAAGTTATTGCAAATGGGATACTTGACAATCGCTTCTCTTCCCAATGTCCAAGGTGGTTATTATCCAGGGATCTTTTTTATTTTGTTTTATTGATTTCAGAGAAAAAGGGAGAGGGAGGTAGAAACATCAGTGACGAGAATTATTCATTGATCGGCTGTCAACTGCACGCCCCCTACTAGGGATCCAGCCCTCAACCTGGGTTTGTACCCTTGACCAGAAGTGAAGCTGGGACCCTTCAGTCCTCAGGCGGGTGCTCTATCCACTGAGCAAAACATTATCTAGGGATTTTGATTACAGAAGCATGTAGTAGTTTGCAAAGTTAGGAATTAACCTATCTCAAAGACAGTTTATTATGTCAAGCTGGTAGTATTTTCAAGAATACTCCCTCTCCCTCCCCGCCAACCTCCCCTCCCCTATCCATCCCTTGAAGGAAGAGACCTGGTTACACCTGGAATTTTCTCAGGGAGGTATAGTTACTTAAATTAGGTCTATTTTAATTTTAATACCACATTCAAATGCATCTTATTTCAGAGTTTGGGGTAGTTCTTTCTGTTTCGGGGGAGAGGAGTGTGAGAGGGAAGGCTGGCTTTCAAGGGTTTTGTGATGAGGTCCCTTGTCCATGGTAGGTAGATGAAGGCATAGTGAGGGGAGGAAATGCTAGAGTGGGATTGAGCCCATTTCTTAGCGTTCTCTATATCTGACATCGACTTGTTTCCTTCTGGCATGAAGGGCTTCACACCTTTCCTCCTGGGGCTAGCTTATAGGCCCTTTCCTAACCCTTTCCTTATTTATTTAGTTATAAAATGTTTTCAGTAATTTTTTATTTTTTATTTATATATTTTATTGATTTTTTTACAGAGAGGAAGGGAGAGGGATAGAAAGCTAGAAACATCAATGAGAAAGAATCATCGACCAGCTGCCTCCTGCACACCCCCTACCGGGGTGTGCCCACAACCAATGTACATGCCCTTGACCGGAATTGAACCTGGGACCCTTCAGACCGCAGACCTGATGCTCTATCCACTGAGCCAAACCGGTTTCGGCTGTTTTCATTAATTTTTTAAAGAGGAAGGGAGAGGGTAAGAGAGACATCAGTTGGCTGCCTCCCCTTTCCCCTACACCAAGAATCAAACCGGTGACCTATTGGTGCACGGGATAGTGCTGAACCAACTGAGACACACCAGCCAGGGCTCTTTCCATTTTTAAAGAAAATGTGATGGGAAAGGGCATATTTCTGCTCTTTCTTAGAGGTTTTGAAAAATTTCCACTCGCTCTTTTCCTGATTCTCATTTGCTTTTTCATCTAACTTTTCTTTTTTCTGAATTTTGAATTTCAGTTGTTATTCTCTTTCAAATACTTTTCCCTCCCCCATTTCTCCTTGGAATAAGAAGTGGCTATGAAATGTTTAGATTACCTTTGCTTTTTTTCTGTTGGGAATCAAATAATTTTTGTATGAACCTTTTTAGAGAAGAAAAATAAAGGACAACAATTTGTAAAGTGGCTTATTTCTAGTAGATTTGGACACTGTTTTTGGATTATATTTCTCAGAAGGTCTAAGAGTCTTACTGCCTAGTAAATAAAAACATTCCACAGTATTTATTTTTTGTTACCTGCTGTTTTCTTTTAGCTCATTTCCTGGTAGAGAAGCACAACAACCCCTGAGTATGTACCCCCTTTATAGTTGAGTGTTTGAAGGAGATGATGAAACAACAAAACCCCGGGAAATCAAACCTTGGGAGGAATTTGAATTGGAAAGGAGCTCGGCCATCTGCTCCGGCTTCCATTAAGGCATATCCCTGTCCACATGGCTTTCTGGCAGCCTCTGCCTGGTGAAAAGCTGCTCCTTCAGGGAAGAGCTGCTCTTTGCGTCTGGGAAACCTTCCTTCCTCCACCTACCCTGGCAGAATTGGTCTCTTTTCTGCACATATCTTGGTTCGGTTGCTGAGGTCACAAACAGTTATAACAAAGTGCAACCTGTGCCAGTGTTTCATCCTATAGATACTTACTGAATACCTGCTATGTGTCAAACAGTGGTCTAGTGTTACCAGGGAGAAGAGATAAGGATGAAATAAGACAACCAGTGGGTCTGGGCTGCCTGTCACTACTTGAGCCAATTAAGCAGAAGCAGAGTTGACTCATACATGGCATTTATTCCAATAATGCTGGCAGTACGGGAGAGCAGCAGGTCATCCCCCAAAATCTACTGTGCATCCCTCCTCGGTGAAGCAGACAAAAGAAATAAGAATGGTTATGCAAAATGGCTATTACTGGCAATGTGGGCTGGGGCGGGACTTGATTGGGCTACAAGGTTGTTAATCCATAATAATAGGAGAATGGACTTCATTCCAAGGTTGACTCCCAGGGCCCAGGGGCATACAACCCCAGGTTAGAATGTACTTTCTTTTATTAGAACAATCAAGGTTAACAGCAAGATTTCTTATGTCTGTAGCTAGTCCCCAATATTTTATTTCTGCCCCTAACTAAAATATCTCGGTTCTTGTCTTCTTGAAGGAAAGATTTCAATTAAGAGACAAAGTGTAGAAAAGTAAGCAAGAATTTATTGACCACAGCAAAAACCTACTTAGGAGAATGAGACAAAGAAGAGCATAGGAGAAGCAGCAGGAGAGCCTAGGTTGGGCTGCCTTAGTTCACCAGGAAGTCAGAATAGGGGGCCTTGGAAACAAGGTTCAGGGAGTTAGTCTGGGATAAGTTGTCTCTCCCCATTGCTCCCCTGGTTGTAAGCCTCATGGGGTCCCTTAGAGATTAGGAGATATATTTTTATTTCCAGGATTTATTTTATTTGGGGACTTAGGGGAAGGCTTAGGGTGAGTTAATAGAATATATTATTGATTTCAGGGAGAGGGAGAGAGATAGAAACATCAGTGATGAGAGAGAATCACTGATTAGCTGCCTGTTGTCTCTCTGAGTAGTGTGGTTTAAGCTATTTACCCTTTTTTTGGGGAAAAGTGCAAACCACTTATTCTTTTTCTTAAAAAATATATTTTTATTGATTTCAGAGAGGAAGGGAAAGGGAGAGATAGAAACATCAATGATGAGCCAGGACCGGTTTGGCTCAATGGATAGAGCGTCGGCTTTGGGACTGAAAGGTCCCGGGTTCGATTCCGGTCAAGGGCATGTACCTTGGTTGCAGGCATATCCCCAGTGGGGGGTGTGCAAGAGGCAGCTGATCAATGACTCTCTCTCATCGATGTTTCTAACTCTCTATCTCTGTCCCATCCTCTCTGTATAAAATCAATAAAATATATTTATTAAAAAAAAGAAAAAAAGAAAGAAACATCAATGATGAGAGAGAATCTTTGATCAGCAGCCTCCTGCACATCCCCTATTGGGGATCAAGCCTGCAATCTGAGCCTGCGCCCCTGACTGGAATCAAACATAGGACCTTTCAGTCCATAGCCTGAAGCTCTATCCATTGAGCCAAACAACTAGGACTCATTTATTCTTAAGTATCCTTGGTTTAGGGAAGATAGGAATTAATAGGTGGCTGCAAACTGCTCTTTAACACTTTCTTAGTTTTCCTATTCCACTTGTCCTGGAATTTTACTAGCTTCTTGCTATTCTATGGCACCAGGTTCTGGGGGCTATAGCAATATTTGAGATGATTTTGTGTCCCTTGTCCTTTCTACTTTCACCATGTTTCAGTTTCCACTGGTAGAGAGATTTGCAAGCAAGCAAACATAAAAGGAGTTCAACAATGGGTCAGGAATTCTATGGACACTTTCCCCAGAAGGATTCAAACAGCCTCCAGCTAGCAAATCAATTCTGTTAATTAGCTCCGATTATTGGTAAAAGTTTGTACTTGCTATTTTGAGGGAGAGAAATTTTTCTTCTATCCTTTGTTAGAACATAGAATTGGCTTTATTAAGTACTAGAGGCCTGGCACATGAACTTGTGCATGAGGGGGGTCCTGCCGCCTACCCTGAAGGGGCCCATCAGGCTGGGCCAGCCAGGGGGAGGGATTGGGGTCGGTTGATTGGCAGGCCCTACCTCCTGGTTGAACTTCTGGTAGAAATCCCTGTGGAGGGGACAATTTGCATATTAGCTTTTTAATATATAGGATTCATGAAGGGGCAAC